CCATCTATTAATTTATTAATAACCTAAATTTCCTATTCAAAGCTGTTATTTTTTTACTTTTGATTAATTAATAATATTTCAAATCCAGCATCAAATTCATTAGCAAAATCTTGAAAAAAAAAAACTAAGGCACCATTGGAACACATTTGAAATTCTACCCACTTGAGCTTTTTATCTGCCCCCACTCCACTACATTAATCAGAAAACCTCTAAAAGCTAATACGCCATTCAATTACTCCCCTCATTAAAAAGGTGTAGCTTTCGACAACATGAAGCGCTTCTCTATTACCGATTCTGCCCCCCCCCCCCAAACTCCCTTATCAGCCCCGTGCTTGCTATTTTAAGCTTCAGTGCGAAATTCCTGACATTGTTGCGCTTAACATAGTGCTAATTTTGTCAACTTTTCGGCTTAATTTTTCACTCTTTTGCCTAATTTTGAATTCCTTATGCTACCTCATTCATGACTTTTGATTTTCCTTCCCATACTGATAGTCTTAAAACCATCGTTGTGGCCAGCGTTACAGTTAGAAAAGAAGTACTACCAATCTTTGAACAGCATCATCTTAAGATACTGAAATCATAGAGGAGATATATGCAGCATTTATGGAAAATAAGCAACAGTATCACTCAAACCTACCACTTTTTGACCGAAATCATCCCTGTTCTTATCGTTCAATATTCTTTTAATGGGATTTAGCACCTGAGACAGTGCTCTCTTACTAAGCTTATGGCCCAATTTCAGCATCATCAGGCTCGGTATGCATAGTCCTGGCTAAATGCAGTATTATTTTTTCACAGTAACTAGTTTAATCAGCAAGCTAAGCGAGAAAATGTAACAGTACTCTGTGCCCCTCAGACAACAAGCAGGAAGCAAATACCGAGATAACCAGTGACTGACCGTTAGGTGACCATAGCAACAACAAAACAGTCGCCAACTTTTTGGATGAAGTGGAAACACGCTACGATGAAACAACAGATTGCTGCTGTATAAGTACCAAAAAGTGAGAGAGCCAAAAATGAGGGAAAAAATGGACTCTCCGAATTGTGATAGTGACGTTGCCAAGGATGAGTGGCAGTAGCAAGCAGCTGGAGCAGTGGCAACAATTCTGAACTCACTGCATGCATTGCCTGCACTGAATCGAT